AAGGGGATAATACATAGTTTAAAATTAGCAAAGGTGTGTGTCAGGGTTGAATCCTTTCTCCGTAACAATTCAGTCTGTATCCTGAATAAATCATTTAAGAAGCTGAACTCTGAGAAAAAAGTGGTATTGGAGGAAGACTCAGCAACTTTGTGCTTTAAGCAGATGACACAGCATTGCTGGAAGTGGTGAGAACTTGAAGCGCTTGCTGCAGAAGATCAAAGACTACAGTCTTCGATATGGACTGCACCTCATTATCAAGAAGACAAAAATCCTCACTGCTGGACTGATAGGTAACATCATGGCAGACGGAGAAAAGTTGAAAGTCGTCAACAATTCCATCTTGCTTGGACAGTTTATTGGAAAATCAATACACTAAGACTAGTTAGAGACCTCTCCAAATTACTGAGAAGCAATGATGTCAGTGTGAAGACTAAGGTGTGCCTGATTCAGGCCATGGGCTCATCAGTTGTGGGAGAAGAGTGCTGAACAGTCCAAAGAACCAATATGTCTTGGGGAAAGTAAAGCCAGAGTGCTCCTTGGAGGCAAGGACGATACAGCTTTGTCTCCCATCCCTTGGACATGTTGCTAGGAGACATCACGCCTGGCAAGGTGGAGGGCCAGTCACAGAGCGGAAGAGCCCCAGTGAGATGGATCGGCACAGTGGCGGCAGCAATGAACTTAAGTGTGTCAGAGACGAGAAGACGGCGCGGCCTAGGTCAGGGCTCAGGTCTGTTGTTTAGAGTCCCTCTAAGTCGTACTTGACTCAATGGCATCTCATGAGTTCACTTCTCTGAGCAAGGCTCGCAGGGACCCTCCCTCCGGTTTCCAATTGCCATGGGAGGAGACTGCCCGCCTTTCTCCCTCAAAGGGACTGGTGGATTCGAACTCCCAGCAGCCGTTGGGTTCCCAGCGAAGCTCACTGCGGACTCCACCACCCTCCGCTCAGGTGCGATCAGCTGCATGTCAAGTGTCCAGGTGGTGGCTGGCAGACTGCACCTTTCTGGACCCTGACAAAATCCAGGGATCACCCAAAGAATGCACACACACAGACGCCCTCACTTCTGCATGCGGACTGGGAGGTTCACAGTTGAGATTGGGCCCCTCTGCCAGGCAGTGCGCCTTGGTTAAACCCTTCACCAGCTGCTGTCCAGTCGTGTCCAGTTCATGGCTACCCCGTTGCCAAAACAGAACTGCTGCTCACGGTTTTCACTGGCTGACTTCAGTAGCGAACCACCACCAGGCCATTCTTCCGACGTGCCCTTGGGGAGATGCCAGCCCCCGGCCTTCCACTTAGTTAACGGATGATGTGCAGGAACTCCTGGAAACCCTCAGCTTCCTCTCCCCCTGCATTAACTGTCCAGCTCCCCGACATGAGCTTCGTCAGTCCTCCCAACCGTTGGGATTTTTCTGGCTCATCTGCCTGTCCCAATGTCATGAGAAAACCTCAAAGCAGACCTGTGTTTGCTTGTATTTTTCTATCTTACAGGTGAATGTGATTTAAAGGAAAGGAGATGAACTACTGAAAGATCTTGGAAAAAGCACATGCCCCAGCCAGGTCAGGGGGGCCATGAGAGGCAGGGAGGCCTGGACTGGTGGGGCGGCTCCTCCCCTGTGTGGGAGGCCCCCTTCTCTGCTCACCCAGGTCTCTGCACTGTGTTGTGCCCTCACGGTCAGCTGGAGACAGCTGCATACACGCGGGTACATTACAGTGGGGACGATGGAGCTCTCGGTTGTCGTTCAGCTCTAACTGGTGACTTGCACACAGCGTGAGCCATTCTCCCTGCGTCACTGACAGTAACTGTGTCTTCATTCAGGGTTTTTGTTGGTTTGTTTACCAAGTTCGGTATACATGGCATTTCACCCTATTCTTCATTCAGTGTTCACGGTCATTCTCCAGCATGTTTCATAAAATCAATCCACTTTGCCTGTCATGAGCCTGTCTTTTCACCCAGATCCTTCCCCATTCCTTGTCCCCTTCGCTCTGCCCACCCAACTGTGCAGCCCTGTGGTTCTGTCCGTAACTGTCCACACCCTTCTGTCCCCCGTGAGTCCCCATACATGTATTACTAGTTATCCTTCTATTTCTATAGTAATGGTCTTAGGTGGTATTTGTCCTCATGAGACTGTGCTAGTTCACTGAAGTCACTTGGTTCATGTCTGTCCTCCCCATGCTGCACTTTAAACCCCACCAGAGCATGTCTGGTGTTTCCAACAGGGCCTGCAGTCACGGGCTGTCTGTTGGAACCGACTCAGCTGGCCCTCCACGGGGTTTTCAGAGACTGGAAATGGTCCATTTTCCTGTGGGTTGGCAGCACAGAGGCCCCCACCAGAGCTCCCTGCCGGGCACAGTGGGTGCTGAGGAATCGCTGGCCGAGTGAATGAATGAATGAAAGTGACCACAGGTGCTCCAGGTACCGCTGAGCTGCCCCTCATCACCCTTGCGTGAAGCAAGGCTGGGGGCTCCTTTCCTGGGTCAGAGGGTCCCTCGCAGTGGGGCACAGAGGGGCCCACTTCCACGTGTCTCGGAGCTCTGGGTCCCCCAAGACCACACATGTGGGTGGGTGGCCGGCCTTGGAGTGCACAATGGGAGGCCAGGCTGGGATGGTGAGGGGTGGGGAACCACTTGGCCTTGACCAAAGGTGAGGGCAGCAGAGCCTCAGAGAAGGCTGCCAATCAGAAAAGGACATTTTGAGGATTGTGCTGGCATGTGAAACAGAATGAAAGGCGCCTCATGTTAATCCGTTGCACTTTTTTATTGTGACATATATTTTCATATACACGTGTGTATATATGAACTTTTGCCATTCATTCTACCATTAATGTGTGTGTACAAGTCAGTGACATTATCACTGTTTTGCTGTAACCATCAGTGGCTCTATTTGCTAAAAAATGGAATGGTCTTGAAATTCTGAAAAGGCTGAATTCTTTTTCTAAAAGTACCAATTCTTTTTTCCTACATGCTGTGTCGGGTTTTCTGCCATTATACTTGTGCTGAAAAAAGAAGTCTATTAAAGCCACTTCCTGTTTCTTTGTAGAATTTACGATGGGAATGGTTTTACCAACGAAGACCATGGCAAAGCAGGATGTGAATGCGAAGCGAAAGCTGAGAGTGGGCAGCTTGCAGGTATGAGCTCGGACAGTGGCGCTGGGGAGGCGTGTCAGCTTTTCATAGGCGGGAACTCCAGCTCTGGCTGGGAACTCTTGGGGGCAAATGTGCAGGACCAGCAGTCCTCTTCGTTCTGAGAGCCTCTTCCTTCGTTCAGACAAGCGTGGAGGCTCTGGGCTGAAGGCTTCAAAAGTCATACCCTCTGCGTGTTTCGCTAGATGCCAGATGAAAGGACTGGGTGTCCCCAAGGGTCCCAGATCACTGTGGTCTTTTCCCTGTGTTCTTTTCCTGACTTGGAGGTTGGGATCTTGGGAGACGAGCATTGTCTTTTGGGCGAACTGCTGGTTTCTGTCTCCTGCTTATCTTTCCATCCTTGGGGTCACATTTGAAAAGTGTCCAGCTAAGTTAGGACTTGGGGGGCCATCCTGAAGTCAGGGAGAGGGCGTTAAATAGCTGACAGGAGGAATGGGTTCTTTACCCAGATTAAGGTCATGTGATGCAGGAAGGCTGGTTTCCCCATTATCTGGGAAGGTGATGTGGGATTTAGAACTTTCTGGTGTCTTATTGAGAGGATGCCTCTTTGTGAATTGGTTTAAGCACTTTCTCTATTGGTTTCATTATTTTTTTGGAAACTTCTGCCTGCGGCTTCTACCCGGTGGGACAGTGTTTTGATGTCAGAGCTGTTTTGACACACGGGTGGGGCAGGTGTACAGTGTCTTTTACCATTAAAGTTGTGACTTCTGTAGGAGGGACCTTCGATGTGTTAGCTGGCGCCAGGTTTTGGTGTCTGTAGGCCACATTTCTGGGATGGTGATGGCAGAGTTTGCAGGATAGCACTCCAAATGAGTGTCATTTCAGGGGAGCACACAGCATTTAGGGGAGATACTGAGTTACCCTCCCATTGTTTTCCACAGGTAAGGGCCAGATATTCAGGGTTTTAAAACAAACCACAGCACCCAAACAAAACCAGTTAACGGTTTTATCACATATTTGACATTTAGATTAAAAAGGTGATAGCGTGTGCTGGAGTAACACTTCCTGGTTAGTGGGTACAGACATGTTCTAAATCCCCTGCTGGGTAACAAGCCGAAAAGGGAGGAAAATTCCCAGTTTGACGGGAACCTCACTGGTGAATGTGAAGTGGTAAGGGAGCTCTCAGGGGCCCGATCCTCTGGTTCGTGAAGTCAGCTGTGGGGTAACATGTGGACCGAGGACTGGTAGGGAGGGATGTGATTCACAGTAACTCCAGGTCTGCACACATGGATGGGATGCTGTGACTGAGGTGACCAGCACCCACCTGAGCAGACGGAGGAATTACCAACAGCTGTGTACAAGAAGACACAGGGTTACCCATTGATTCTTCTAGTGCTTAGGTGTTTAAATGAGAGGATTTGAGGGTTTTCATGTTTTGTATTGTGGAAAGTTTAAAGAAATGTCCTCAGTGGAATTTCTCATTTTCAGTTAACAAATTCTTCATGAAATGGATGTAAAATGAGCACCTTGTTTAACGTTCAACACCCACCACGAAAACCAAGCAGGCTTGTGCAGACCCCTTTCCTTTCCCTTATACAGGCATAATAAGCTTCCTCATTTCCTTTCAGAACACCACGAACAGCTGCACTGAACTCTGTGCCGACCCTCGGGCAGACGGAGTCACAGCTGGACTCTGAAGGAGCCCCTGGTCTGAGGACAGAACATGAACCTGCTGGCAGAAACAGCATCTTGAAGAAAGAAAAGGTGCACTGCATTTGACCACACTACATTAGAATTAGCCCGATTAGAAGATCTTACAGGGATATGACTTTTTATAAGCAGCCAAGTCATGTTTACGGTTTCCCTAGCCTTCCTTATAAAACAGAAAACAAAACCCCATTTTATGCTGAAGGACATTTCATTAACCTATAAAGAATTAAGAAGCCCAAAGTCTGAGTGTTCTGACTAGATTTTGTGCTGGGTAGAAAGCAGCCGTCCCTCTCCTCCCCTCCCTGTGGACGGTCCCTGGAAATGGACCCAGCTCCCGAGTGCAGGTACAGGGAGCTTTCAAGCTGACATTCGGTTGTAGTTTTAGTTCAAGAATTAAACAAGAAATAGGAAACTGATAGTGTTCCTTGAGAGTTCACCAGGCGCAGGTGGCCGGCCCGGGAGGCATCCCGGCTGGGAGGACGCACACGTCTCCAGGAGGAGTGAACTTTCTGGCTGTCCACTGACACTTGCAGTGAAACAGAAAAGGTGCTTCCCTCCCATTCAGTTTTCTCATGAGAAGACTGAAGCAACATATGTAAACCAATGCGAAGTCATCACAATCAGTTTAATTAAGTGCACAGAATAGCAATCAGTCATGTCAATAAAAATAAAACAATTATTTGTACATCAAGTGTGCTTTATTCCCTCCACAGGTATTCTGTTAAATAAAGCACCATGTATACACTGCCAGGCCACAGCTAAAGAGGATTCTTTACAGAATCAAATTTCTTGTGGTTGT